CTATTATTTACTTATAGCCTTCTTTTATTCGTATAAGGTTATAGGCTTCTTTTAAGTTAAGTGTGGTAAACTATTTAGCTTTTCTAACTTTATCTCTAATTTCTATTATAAGCGGTAACGGGTATTAATTCTTAATTATAATCTTATTTAAGTGTTAGTAATTAATGCATAGTTATAGTTTCCCGTTCTTCTTTAATACCTATAGAATTAAGTATCCTATTAGGGACTCTAATAGTCTTATATATCCCTTCTATAACATGTCCTCTAGATACTCCTTAAGCGCCTTATCTTACTTAGGGTTCTAAGAATAAATCTTATTAAACGTTAATTTAGTACCAGGCTAGAGTCTAATCTCGTAGTCCCAGCGTGAATGCTCTGGTAGTCCTGTTTTTAGCTCTCCGCTAAATAGCTTACTATACCTTAAGTATTCCTTAGGAATCTCCGTTATCTTAGCTTTTAGCTCTCTAGCGATCACATATATTCCTAAAGGCCTATTGTAGTTCGAATAAGGTGCCCTTCGTAGGCCGCTCTTAGCTTTGTAACCGCATCCTAGTAAATCCCATTAAAGTTAGCCGGTTCTTTAATTGACTCGTAGATTGCTCGCTCGTAACTAAGGTATCCCTAATATAACATCGTGTTTTAAGATCACTGTAATATTTAATGTAACTTGGTGTTTCGTGCCTTATATATTAATAAGAAGCTACGCGATCTTCATATTAACTACTCCGTAGCTATACTTTACCGTAGTTCCTTCCACAGTCATGAGTTGGTAGGGCTCGTCTTTAGGTATCTAAGGCAATTGTAATTTGTTGACGAGATTTAACGAGATAAAATTTCCTTGTACTCCGCTATCAATCATTACCTGGATCTTTCTTCCTATTATAGTTATATTAACTATAAGGTGTATAGTACTGCCAATGTTTATAATATATAGAGACCTGTTAGATCTTCGTTAAGGAATCGGTCTTAATTGCAACGATAGCTGTCGTTTCCCAAATTATTAATTCTCTCCTCTTATTATTATTTAGCGCGTATCTCTAAGCGCTGTTATCGGCGATTATCTTCCGGCGTCTTGTTAGAGCTTCCTTAGTAATCACTTGATTTACTATTTGTGTTAATTAAACTTAGACTAAGTGAGTTACTCGCAGTCACACAGTTCCCTTCCTCCTTACATTGTGGGGTTATGGCTTAGGTAGTGTATGCGTTATTCTTAGCATAGTATAACTCCCCGTTTAATATCTTTAAATCGGTTTATCGTAATTTTAGTTGTATTATAAGGGTTATTCTCCTTCCCTTTCGTTCTCGTGGAAACCATCCGCTACCTTTCGCTGCCTTACTTGCTATTAAGGTGCGTGTAGCAATTATTATTATAATAGAAGGTTCAATTAAGAAGTCTATATTCGATTTTAGGTTCGTCTTTCTTAGTTGGATAATTCTCTTCTTCTTAGATCCGTTCTAGTAAAGGTTCACTTTTTAGTGAGGGTGTCTAGTATTCCTAAAAGTTATCGGGTACTAGTTGGGTTCCGAATTCCTAATCTTTATTTAAACTAATATTATTTATTAATGTAGGGCTTCCTTTATTACTTGCTATGCTAAGATTTCGCGTAGGTAAGTCTTCTCAGTTTACGGTATAAAGCTTCCTACCTTTAGGAATTGGCTTCCATAGCTTCTTCGGGGCTCTACATTTATTCGTAAAGTGTCTAGTCTTGCTACAATTATTATAAGTCTTCCCCTTTTTCTTATTCGTGGCGTTAAGTTCCATAGGTTCGGCGTGGTACCTATATGCTGTTAATGTTCGGCGTGGCTTGCTACTATTAGGTTTATTAAACCTAGCATATAATCCGAATTTCCTGTGACTTTTTTCGTAACGTTACTCGTATAAACGGTTATTTGCCTTAATAACCATTTCGACGAAGTCGTTAAATAACTTAGGACGATCTTCTTAATAAATGTTATCCTTTACTTCTTTCTTAAGTCCTTAATAGAAGACTTCCATTTTAGGTTCGGTATTCCAGTTAAGTTTTACTACAATGCGTTTAAACTCCCTAGCGTAATAAGCTGCAGATCCGGTCTGCTTAAGTCGAGTAAGCTGTCGTGTAGCTTCTTTGTGCTTATTAGGGTTTCCAAATGTAGCGAGCAGTCATTCTTTAAAGGTTTCGTAATTAAAGAAGATATAGACAACTTCCACTCCGGCTTCAGCGCCGTGCTTAAGATGTGCGCGAAGGGTTAGCTCCCACTATTCCATTACTTTCCCAGTTAAGAGGTTACCAATGCAAAGAATCTGTAACTCAGGTGTCGTGTAGATTTTTTCGTTGACTCGTAGGTAAGCTTAGGCTTATGTGAGAAAGTTCCTCACATTACCCTTGTAACCATCGTATGATTTAGGCTTGGGGAATTTTAGCATGTTATTATTGTTAATAGAGAATGCAGGTGTAAGATTTTAAACTACTATAAGTTCCTCTTCTCGTGCCTTAAGTTTCTCGTAGAGATTATTCTGTCGGTTAAGAAGCTGTCAATTCTACTTCTTAAGCTCGGTAATCTTATTATAAAGGTACTTCATTATCTCCCCGGGGTTAGTAGTCTTTCCGCTTAAAGTAAATATCTTGGAAGTCGTTACTACTTAAAGTTTCAAGGTAACTTACTAAATAGAATTAATTAAAATGTAACGGTGGCTTAGGTTCTAAGGCATAGTAGGTCTATTTCTTAGGAAGTAAGTTAGGTTAAATGCTACAGATCTTACTATAAATATATATATTATATAGATTTCATCTAATATTCTTAAGTCTTTAAGCTATTATTTAAAGCGCCTTTTTATATAATTAGGTTAGCGGTAAAATAGCTACTTTTACCTTAAGCTAAAAGACTAAAATAGCCTTAAACGCTCTAATAATAGCTTAAAGGTATTCTAATTATTTACTAGTAAGTTATTACGTAATACCTCTTAGCTTACTATATATCTTCGTTAGTTTATAATATACGCTTACTTTATAAGTAATAATAGATTAAATTATTTAGTTATATAAGTGTTTAGCTTCTCTATAAAAGTATCTCTAAGTAAACGCTATAAGAGAGGTAAGAGCGAGCTGCTACTAGGTTAATTTATCCTTAATCTTTATCTAATATCTATTTTAGGTAAGCCTTCGATTAAGCCACACGCCTAAGAAGCGTACTTCTATGGTTATCGGCGATATCTCCGCGTTACTAAGGCGAAAATAGTATATTATTATATAACATAACGCCTTTAATATATTATAAGTATACTAGCTTTTTTAACTATTTTATTATAGTTATAATTTCTTATAAAGTTATTCTATTATTTTTCATATAAATATATATATTTAAGAGGTAAGTTAAGCATTAAAAAAATGCCTAAATGATAAGGTTTTTAAAACCGTTTATATTATAAATTTCTTCTATATATTAACTATAAGATAAGAATACCTATAAATATATTATAAGATTAAGGGTATAAAATATCTAATATTATAAATAAATACCTATATAAGCATATTATATATTAAAATAAAGCTAAAAATCACGTGATCTTAAATGCTTGAAAATTAACCCTGAAATATAGATATTAGGCGAGATATTAAGCTTTAAAATTATATCTTAAAATAAAAAGTAAGTAAAGTAAGGCGAATTTTTAATTACTTATAACTTTTTAATGTAATAACTTATAATAGTAAAAAGTAAAGCATTTTAAAGAGCTTATTTAGCTCTTTCTAATTATATAAAATTATCCTTTATAACCCTTATAATTAGCCTTATAATCTTAAGTTAAAAAAAACAAGGGTTTTTTTTACTTATAAAGTTATAATATATTTATAGGTATTTTAGTAATATAATATAATATATTTAAATATATTACACGAAAATACCTATAACCTTATAATCTTAAGTTAAAAAAAACAAGGGTTTTTTTTACTTATAAAGTTATAATATATTTATAGGTATTTTAGTAATATAATATAATATATTTAAATATATTACACGAAAATACAATATAATATAAAACACAATACACAATACACTTGTATTTACTATATTCGTAAGAGCTCTGACCGTGCTAGCGACGTACCAAATTTTTAACACGGTTACACGGTTACAGCGGCTACATGGGGGGCTAATTGCCCCGCGGGCCCTACAACTGGGGTGTAGTGGAGCAGAACGCACCCCGAGCAATTCACGTCAACTGGTATTTACGTACAGAAGCTTAGTGGCAGCTAACGTCACATCGTAGCGGGGCAGGTCTCCCAGGCAACGACTTTCCCTACAAACGAACAATAAACCCACACAATATGCCGAGACACTTCTCTCATTCTTCTTGAAAACCAAGAAATATCCGCCAAACGCGAACCTCAATCATCATGGTGGATGTTCCTAAGTGGATTAATGGAATTTCTTCTTTCACAGATGAGACCAGATATTATCCTGATCTTCCAACATCTCAGCAGGAATCCCGCAAGCGAACCCATCCTCTCTCACCAGACCCAAGCTCCATGGACGGGGCGTTAACTCCAACGAAGAGGAGGCGGCAGCATGATGCAGATCCAACGCCAGTGGCGACAGCTCTGAAGCAACCACCCAGAGCTCCGAGAACCATGTCCTCCTCTCCTACAAAGTCATCCGCGAGTATTCGATCTAGCTCGCAATCATCATCCCGCCGCACATTTACCTCCCTGCAGGTCTACGAAGAAGGGATAATCCCTCGCCAACTAAGCGGACTTCAAACTCAAAATCTTCCGTCGTCGATTGAAAAGGCACTACTGAGGATCAGACAGATCGACCGCTGCAAAGGCATCTTGTCACCGCGGTCGGACCCGTCCAAGTTCGAGACATTCAGACGTGGCAACGACCTTGACATGGATGTTTTTGCCAAGTCAGAGACCGATGGTAGTAGGCTTACGCCTGAAGAGGCGTTGGACATCGCAGAAGGTGCCCGTCGCTGCTTCGAGAAGAATCATGACGAAGACAATTGGACGTGTGATGTCCACCACGTGCTGTTCAAAAAAGTGTTTCGCAGGTCAAGCCCAAACGCTCAACAAAACCTTGTCGATTTCGCTCGATGGTGCGTTCAGCCTCACAGTCCTCGATCTCCAAGAGATTGCTAACAGGATCCTACTCTCACAGCACAAGCGCTTACATTATTCGGGAATACTTGCCGACAGCAGCACCTGATCGACGGATTGACATGTGTACGTATATCGATCCCTCGGCCGAACCAGATTATGCGACTAGAATCGACAAATTACGACAAACGTTGCCCGAACAAAGCATCAATCACTCTTCATACATCGCCCTGCGCAACTGCCCGACTTCCTGCAGCGTAGAGATCAAAAGGTCTGGCAATGATTTTGATGGTGCGGTTCTGCAAATAGGCGTACGGCAGGCTGCTCAATGGAAGATGCTGCGGGCCCTGCTGCAGACCGCGGCACGCCAGCGCATTTCCGCCCGTCAGGCAATGACCAGCCAAGACGACGTGTTCGTCGATGATGGCGAAGAGGGGTGGTATGTTGACGAGTCGCTTAAAAAATTGGGAGCCCTTCCTGGCATATATTCTCAGGGACATGAATGGTATTACGTCGCAACGTCGCCGGAAATAAGGGACGAACAAGGTCGGCCCTCACTGAGAACGGTATGTTTACTCAACAATCGCTCCCAGACGTGCAGCTAATGGCTGGGTAAAAGATTCTTTGGCTTCAGGAGCCTATCGGTCGCACTAACACAGACTTGGGTATTCATCGCATCGCTGCATTTCTCGAGTATATAAGAGACTGGTCAGCTTCCTTCTACTGGCCCTGGTTTAAGGAGTGTATTTTAGAGTAAGACTTATGCTCAGTCCTAGTATGTCACGATGAGGTTCTCTGGATACAACTTTGCTATTCCCGCCGCAACTACATGTCAGGCAAGCCGGAGATGTCTAATTTATGGCGTGGCAAAGGACGCCTATGCATTTTCTGACTTCAAAGTCTTAGGCCTGCTCACTTATCCGAGACAGTCTGATGCTGCAAAACATCGAGTCAATCTGTGTGGATACCTTTCACCAGGAAAATGCAATCGTCCGAGTTTGGCGGTGTTGCGAAACTGGTTGCTGCGGTTGGCAGCACGGGAATCGCACCTATAGGCCGTCACTATGGCCAATCGCTGCGGCTCAGAGGAACATACGATTTCAAGAACCACATCTCAGGATGCTGAGACCAGGTGTTGCCGCCGTCATTCCCAAAGTCGTTGAATGATCCAAGACTACTCTGCAGTATTGTGGCACACTTGAACGCCTAGAGTCGCGGGGAATAAAACAACGAAAGGTAGATGACTAACTCTAGACCGCTGGTTCTAGTTTGAATCACGCTGGGAATAAGCTCAGAGACTTCGGCTTTGTCGATGGATCAGACAATTTGGTTTCACACAAGTGCGTTAAATACAAATCCTTGAATACCCTGCATGTTTTGACGTGGTTGTAAATGACTGTATTATTCCCTCACCGATCCTGGCGATCAACCAGGTAATAGGCAGAGGTTTGGATAAATTCGTTAAGCTGGTAAAGGCAAGTATTTTCTTTTAAGAAAATCTACTTGTATAATTAAATAAAATTATTTATAAATACTATTATTATATGTTTTTTTCCTTTATTTTCTTCTTCTCTAGTAGTAATAAGCGAAGGTAGTCTTAATACCTTTTATCCGCGCACGTCTCTTTTAGCTGTTACCGCGGCTCATATTATAAACCAAGCCGGGAAAATCTCCTAGCTGCTAGGAAGGCGTCTTAGGCGGAGATACTCTGAATTCATAGAATTTATAGGAATAGTAACGCTAAGACATAATGCAGGGAGCTATTAGGCAACCAGCGACACGGGCAGGAAAATCTCAGAGGCGAGATGGCTTACCAGACAACCGGGGCGGAAAGCAGAGGGTGCGTCGCCTCGTCAACGTGTAGCCCGTTTAGTCTGCAGCGACCTTATAGCGAACCACCGCAATTCTGCATTGTACATTCGAATACGGAGTAAGGCAGCCAATAATGGGACTGTTCTCTGCCGTTACGCGAACCGACTGCAATTTTGAGCCAGTAATATCATGACACAATGTTTAACAGCAACCTCATTGCGAAGATGTTGCGTCTGGAGACAATCCACTATTTGAATTGGTGTGGTAATGTTGCCATTCTTACCGGCTCAGTCAACGCTTATGGGGTTGGGCCATTGCATAATTCAATAGCCGTACTCGGATTCACGGCCACGAGACAGGGGAATGGCCTTGTCTGGTGTACGTCATCGTGTACCTGCGCCTTCTCGCTCCTTAGTTGATTACGGGGCCATACTCCGTAGTCATCCCCTGTTATCGTCTCCCCCGCATAAGAGGACTGCATAAAGTGGAAAGCTGGACCGAATGTAACTGAGGAAATAAGAACACTTCTGACACATCCCAGCATCACCATTGCAACCAGCGCGGGTGCCAGCGAGACTTGCGGCGAGCCAAGGCAGCGAGTGGACTTCTCACCCTTGTTTATGAGGCCGTTGGCAAGTCACCAGGGAGCCTCGGAGTGACTTTTAGGCTATTTGGCCGGCTAAGAGGGAACTCCCGCTAATGCAGCGTAGAAGCGTCAACTAGTTACAGTGGGTCTCCAGTAATTCCGAAAAAAACCCACTAAAATCGCGTATTAACCTATAACGCGTCTATTATAATAATATACCTTTTATCTTTAAAAGATATAATTACTACCGCTATAATACCTTAAGTAACTTAAAATAAGAATTAAAGTTCTTATAAGAGAGGTAAGGTTTATAAAATATACTCTTTAAGTATTTCTATTAATTACATTATTAAAGAGAAGAAGATTTCTACTGGTAGTATATATAATATCGCGAAATAATACGAGTAGTAAATTAAGGGTTAAGATTTATTATGCTTTAAATAGCTCTTAAAGCTTATAAATTACGAAAAAAGATATATTATATAAATTATTAATTAAAACCCTTTTATTTAAAACTAAGATCTTCTTTATTAGGCTAACCTATTATATAATATTATAACTTTAACGCGTTACCTTAAATTAATAGGTATTTAATATAAGCGCGCACTTTAATAATTAAAATTAATACTAAAAGATGTAAAAAGACGCTTAAGATTTACTTTATAATATTATTAAAAGCTAATTATATAATAGTATTAAGTTTTTTTTTAATAAAGTCTTAATCGTGACTTTTAACGGTTAAAAGATATAATAGTATTTTTTAAGGCGTGTAAGCTATAATAGCTCTTTAAAGAATCTATAATAACTTTAAAACTAATTTATTTTAAGGTAAAAGACTTAATTAAAATAAAGTATAATTAAAGCTACGTGAAATACGCTAATTATTAATGTTTTAAGGTGTATTTAATACGTTTAATCGCTTATTATTATATGCTTTTTTTAGAGATAATAACTTACCTTAGTATAATATAACTTCTTAAATAATACTTAATACTCTATAATTAAAGCTACCTATAATTTTAAAGCCTAAAAATACCTTTATATAAGATAATACTTTTATATATTTAAGTTAATTAATGTAAAATTAATTACGTAATTAAGCTATAAGAAATAGGGTTAAATTAATAAAGTAATTACTATATTTACTTAACCTTAACCCTATTAAAAACCTTTAAAAATTACTAAAATAAAAAATAATTAAGTATTACCTTAAGCTAATAAATATAAGAAATAATATCACCTTATTTTTAAGGCTTAAAATAGCTGTTATAAAGGCTTAGAAAGGTTTTAGTTAAAAGCTACTATAAAAGCTAATTAATATAATACTCTATTAAATTAAAGCTATTATACACGTAAACGGCTAGTATATTAAGTATTAATTATATTAATTAATGTAGAATTAATTAGATTTTTTACTATTTATATAAAAATATAATTACTATTTAATTAGCCGAGAAATCGCGGTTTAAATATTTGCCTTATAACGCGGGTATATAGT